TGGCAGGCGCCTGTAGTCCCAGCTACTTGGGAGGCAGAGGCAGGAGAATCGCTTGAGGCCAGGAGTTGGAGGTTGCTGTGGGCTGTGATACCACAGAACTCTACCCAGGGTGACAGCTTGAGGCTCTGTCTCAAAAACAAAACAAACAAACAAACAAACAAACAAAAACACCCTGAGTCTAATCAAGCCTCTAGATCTAAGGATCAGTTTACAGGAAATACAGGGGACAGAGTAACAAGTTAAAAGTAACAAGTTAAACCAGTAAGCAATCAGCTAAATAGAAAAGATGGGAAATTTACAGGGTAAATTACTGGATTTCTTCAAACAAATAAATGGTATGAAATAAAAAGGGAAGGAGAATTGTTATAGATTCGAGACCAAATCTACCAAATGAAATGTGTAGTAGACCTTATTTGGATCCTGAGGGAAAAAAGTTAATTTCATCCAGGCATTTTTGAGACAATGGGGGAAATCTGACTGAGTAGGAGGTAGTTATTAACAATTTTTTGTTAATTTTATTAGATGTGATAATGACATGTGGCTCTGTCGGGAGCGAAGTCCTTTTTGGGGGGGGACAGAGTTTCACTTTTGGTCACATTCGGCAGAGTGCTGTGGTGTCTTTAACTCACAGTAACCTCAAACTCTTGGGCTTAAGCAATGCTTCTGCCTCAGCCTCCAAGTAACTGGGACTAGAGGTGCCTGCTACAACGCCCTGCTACTTTTTGTTTTTTTTTTTAAGAGACGAAGGTGTCACTCTAACTCAGACTGGTTTTGAACTTGTGAGCTCAGGCAATCTACTCGCCTTTGCCCTCCAAAGTGCTGGGATTACAGCGTGAGCCACCGCACCAGCCAAAAAGTCCTTTCTTATTAGAGATACATATTGAAGTGTTTACCCATGAAATTTTATGTTGGGTTAGGGCTTTAAAATGCTCCATCTAATAAAAAAGCAGACGGTCAGATGAAGCAAGATTGAGATTATTTATACTATACTATCTACAGTTTTACATTTTCTTTCTCTTTTCTTTCTTTCTTTTTTTTTTTTTTTTTTTTTTTTTTTTTTTTTTTTTTTTTTTTTTTTTTTTTTTTTTTTTTTTGCAGTTTTTGGCCGTGGCTGGGTTTGAACCCGCCACCTCTGGCATATGGGGCCAGCGCCCTACTCCTTTGAGCCACCCAGTTTTACATTTTCCAAGAAAACTTTATTTTGTTTGTTTTAAAACTGAATGGCTTGGAGCAAAAGAGTTAACCTCAAGGAAGCCAAAGAAAGTAAATCATTTAAAGTAAAGATCCTCCTATAGCCAAGATTCTCAAACTGAATTAAGCGCTTTGGGGCTGATACGTTCGGCGCCTCTAGACCTCGCAGCACACCCCGCCCTCCATCCCTCCGCATCCTCACCTGCCGCCGTGGACACGGCAGGACTGGGGTTGGAAGGAGGCGGGCAGAGAGGCCTGGTCATCCTCGAAGGAGATACGCTCACCCAGGAAGTCGGGGCCGGAGAAAAGCTGAATCTGAAAGCAGAGAGGGGAGGAGATGAGGGTGGAGGAGGGCGATGGGGTGGGGCAGAGGATGGTGAAGGTGGGCAGAGCTGTGTAGTGAGGGGAGAGGAGACATGTGCCCCCACCAGCTCCTTGAGGAGTCCCATCCTTACCTTTGAGACAAAGTGAAGATCGTGCTCCCCGACCTGAAGAGAGGGACCAAAGTTTGGAGACATAAGGAGAGCGCCAGCCCCTGGTCTCAGCTCCTTCGTGTTTCAATATTGCCCACCCCTGGGCAGAGCCCCATTCCCTTGAGCCCCGCCCCTTTAAGTGAGGGGCTATGAACCCGACTCCAAGCCACGTCCCTCGCTGGGGTTCCCCGCGCTCCTCACGCACCTGCAGGACCGGCTGCAGCGAGGCGAGGGCGCTGTTGCCTGCGCCCCAGTCGTCGCAGTTACGGTACACGCCTTTCTCCAGGACGTACTGTTCCCCGGAGAAGCCCACCTCTTGATAAGCTACCCACCTGCGGGAAAGGCGGGGCGTGGGTCAGCGGAGGCGGAGCCCGTACCTCTCCTGGAACCGCCCCTGCCGGCCCGGCTCTAGGAACCGAATCACTCACACGCCACTGAGTACGTGGATCGCCTGTGTGCAGGGTCCGTGTCGCACCAGCTCCACGTCTGGCAACGCCTCGCTCACTTCCACACCGTGCCCCTCGAAGTCCATGGCCTCAAACAGTACCACGGCCGGGTCCCCGAAGTCCTGGGCCCCAGGGATAGTCAGGTCTCTCCTGCCCTTGGATGGAAGCCCCTGGACGTGCCCAGACCCCAGGGTCGCGGCCCACCCGGGGAACTAGGGATGAGGCTGTCAGTGTAGCCTGGAGAAGAGCAGCAGGAGGAGGAGAAGCTAGACCTCAGACAGCACTTCCACGGAGAACAGGGAGAGGGAGTACAAATTCCTCCCTCTACAAATTGTATTAAGGGAAATCTGGCTGTGGCTAGAAGCGCTCGCTTACCGTCCGGATAACCCGCAGGGAGGTCAGCAACTCATCATAGCCTCCCCAGTGTGACCAATCAGGGTATTCCCCCTCCTCCAGCAGATACTGATGGCCCCTGAAGCCCTCCTTCTCGTAGCCCACCCAGCTGGAGGAAGAGAGGATAAACAGACAGGTTCAGTCACTGGAAGCCCAAGGATAGCTAAGACAGCTCCTCCCATCCCTGGACAGTCCCGGTAGCTCCCCACCCGCAAGGGTAAAGGCCAATGGGGGAGATGATATAGAAGAAAGGGTCCTGAGTCCTTACCAGCCTCCAAGAACCTTCAAAGACCCCACAGAGGTCAGGTGGGGACTCTGGGGGTCCTCTGGCTGCTGAATATTGTAGATGTCTCTGCTCACTTCCCAGCTGCAGCCCTGAAAGCCTGGGGCCTCATACACCACAGCCTAGGGTAAAGAGGGTGTCAGGATGGTAGGGAGTCATCTGGACCCAAACACACACAGCCAGCACAGGAATGGCTCTGCCCAGCATCAGTGAAGAGCACCCCAATCCCAGCCTTCCATCCCTCGCTGAGCCCTATCCCCTAACTTCTGTCTCCATTCAGACCTCTGGCCTAGTCTTTTTTTTTTTTTTTTTTTTTTTTTTGGTAGAGACAGGGTCTCACTTTATCACCCTCGGTAGAGTGCCCTGGCATCACACAGCTCACAGCAACCTCCAACTCCTGGGCTCAGGCAATTCTCTTGCCTCAGCCTCCAGAGTAGCTGGTACTATAGGCACCCACCACAACGCCTGGCTATTTTTTTGATGCAATTTGGCAGGGGCCGAGTTTGAACCCGCCACCCTGGGTATATGGGGCCAGTGCCCTATCCACTGAGTCACAGGCACCGCCCAGTAGGGCCTAGTCTTTACACCTCAAAAGCTAGTTCTCAATGAGCCTATCAGGCTCCATGCCCCCACACTCAGCTCTGGCCCCCAGCACCAAAGACCCCTTTGGCCCTAAAGCCCAGATTCTTACCTTGGGCTCCCCTGGCTTCTCCACACTTGGGCAGCCCTGCAGAGGACACATATATGTGACACCAGTCCAAAGGTGAGGGAAGACTAATGGGGCTAAGGACCTATAATCTTACTGATCCTGAGACCCTATGCCTTCCCCTGACCAACCCCTTGGGCTAATCTTCCCTTTCCTCTCACCACCATTCCCAGTAGGAGCTCCCAGGGAGTGGTCCCCACAGGGAGCTGTGTTACACTTCAACCCCCTCTTTCCCACAGACTGCAGGACCATGCTACTTGGGGCCAGGGGTGGAGCCTAGACCTACCCGCCTGTGGGTGGGCCCTGCTCTTTACCAATCTCATGGGCTTCAGGGAGCCCACACTGGCGCACCAAGCCTCTGACGTGGGGTACTCTCCAGGCTCCAGGATATATGGGGTGCCTTCAAAGAATGGTTTGGGGTACAGCAGCCACCTGGGGGAAGACAGAGAGGCTACTGTACTCCAGACCCCAAGGCACATAGATTGGTGAAAGGGAGGGAAGGTATAGAGGGGAGGAGGTTTGGGGGGGAGACTCCTGTCAGGGAAACTCTGGCAGACACTTCAGCCTCTGTAATCTCTTGCAGTAGCCACTCCATTAGTCTCCCTTCCTCTGGCCTTGCCCTCTCTAATTCACAAAATTGCTGGTGAGTTCTTTCAGATCACATACCTGCTTAAATGCCCCTCCACCAGTTTCAGTTCAGTTTGGCACCTGTAGCTCAGCGGCTAGGGTGCCAGCCACGTACACCAGAGCTGGAGGGTTCAAATCCCACCCAGGCCTACCAAACAACAATGACAACTACAACCAAAATATAGCCAGGCGTGGCGGGCACCTGTAGTCCTAGCTACTTGGGAGGCTGAGGCAAGAGAATCTCTTAAGCTCAAGAGTTTGAGGTTGCTGTGAGCTGGGATGCCATGACACTCTACCCAGGGGTAAGGTAACCAGATTTTAACATTGGTAAAGTGGGACAACATTGACTGGGCGGGGGGTCGGGGCAGGGGATGGGGCAGGGCAGGGCAGGGCCTGACAGCAATGCAAACTTTGATAAGCAGTTCTCGATAATCACTTCTCAACAATTATTTGTTATTATTACAGTTTAACACTATAAAATTAACAAAAATAATATAAAACTCACATCCTGGGGAAATAGCCACATGACAGCTGAAAACCGTATATTCCCTTCCTGTTCTCCCACCTGTTCGTGCATTCTTTCCAAAAATTGGGACTTTT